ATACAGATATGAAATTACATCTTACTGTGCAGACAATATATTTCAAAGAATTCTGTGCTGGGAAATACATAACTCCAATTTTCCCACTTCAAAGAAAAATCTTCAGTACATTGAAAGACAATTTTTGGGCTGGGGATATAGCTCAGTGGCACAAGCGCCTGCCTGGCAAGCGCAAGGTCCTGAGTTCAATTCCTGGTACCAAAAATAAATGAATAAATAAATAAAAGACAATTTTTAAAGCTTTGCATCTGGAGATAGTAAGGCTCTCTGAGATTTTAAAAAAGACAGGAGTACATATAAGAAACATTCAGAAGTAAAATGAATAGAATTTGGTGATGGATTGAATATGGGCATTAAGTTAGAATGTAGAACAACCCTTAGGCTCCTAACTTAAAGAAAAATGTACAGATACTCTATACAGTTTGAATATTTTACACTAAGATTTAACTGCTGTTGCAATGCTATTAAGAGGTAGGTTTGGAGGTGGTGATTAGGATTAAATGAGCTCATGAAGGGGTAACCCCCATGTTAGGATGGCTAGCTTTTAATCCTATAAGGAGTGAGACACAAGGAATGGCTCTCTGTGTCTTGACATGGACGTCTTCCACCATGCCAAGCCCAGCAGAGGAACCTGACGAGATATTAAGAGGGGCTGGGGACTGGGGATCTAGCTCAGGGGCACAGCGTCTGCCCAGCAAGTGCAAGATCAAGAGTTCGATCCCTGGTACCGGGGGAAACAAACAAAAAAAGAGGTGCTAGTAGCACATTTGGATGTTGCGGCCTTCAGAAAAGTAAGCTAACAAACTTCTAGTCTTTATAAATGAGCCAATATGTGACCCTCAGTTCTAACAACAAGAAATAGTAAGACAGTTGACTAGAGAGAGAGGTGGATAATCCTTCAACCTGAAACATATGAAGCATGATGTGCCCATGAAATCCAACCAGCCAGACACAGGTGTGCTCACAGCATAGGGAGGCAGTAAAACTATGGTTATGAAGCAAATCAGGCAAGAAGGGGAGTAGAACAGAGATGGCCATGAATAGAGGCTCTAACAACATCTCTTTCTACTTTCATGCCTTTATTAATCTTTCTCATCAGACAATAAACTTCACAAGAACAGGGACTTGGCTGGATCTGCTTATAACTGTATTCTTATATCCAGTACAGCCCACACCATGGTAAATGCTCCACGTGTATTACTCAGTGGATGGGGAGCTCAATCTGGCTGATCAAAATGGACAGGGTGATCTCCTGTAAGAAGTGGTGTAGCTTTCGGATCAAATCATGCCAAAAGATTCTCCTACACCACCACTAGGTTCACTACTGATGTTCCAGTTACTGAGACTGAGAAGTTACATCTTCTTTCCTTCGATTTCCTCAGTTTTCAAATTTATCTTAATTCCTACAACTTGGCTTTTTCTCAGGCCTTTAAGAAATGAGTATTTTTAATCAGTGCTTTATTCAGTTTTTCCTATAACAAAAAACCTTAATTTTTCTTGTAAAACCAGAGGTTCATTCAAAGGTTGGGAAGTAATCAGCACCTAACAGAACACATGCCCTGACCTGTGTTGCACCAAAACCTGAAGGTGCTTTAACGGACTGTGGGACTTAGGGGTCCCTAAAGTAGGGGTGCCTACTGAGGGAGCACCCCATCTCTTCAAGGGATGCATCGTATTACAAAAAGAAGCAATTTATGGAGCCATAATATCCATTCTGGGTCTTTCCTAACTCATCTTTGTAACACAATGTCTGTGACACTTCTGTGTGCTTCTGCCCTTCCTTTGTCAGTTCTACCAAACTCTTGAATGTTTTTGAATCATTTGGAGGGCTCTGCAAAAACACAGATTGCTGTCCCCATGTCCAAAAGCTCAAATTCATTAGGGTAGGGGCTGAGGAGTTGCACTCTTAGGGTTCCTAAGTGACAATAATGCTGGTGTTTCAGAGAACAAACTTTGAACACCAAAGACTAGTTTGCCACTTAATGGAAACATGAAAAAAAAAACCAAAACACTCAAAACCCGCAACCACATGAATTGAGCCTCCCATGTGCTCTGAGTCTAGGATGCATTAGCATGGGATGTAAAAGTTCTGAATGAACAACAAAGTTAAAAAAGGAATGATTCTGACGAGTGTGACAAATCTTTTTTTTTTTCCTTAGCCAGGGGTTCATGAAAAATTTAAAGAACACTTCACTATGACATCACCTGAGAGGTAACTGGAAATAGAATCAGGTAGATCACTACGTGACTTCAGGCACTAAGTCAGAAACTGCTTTACCATTTAGGTAGCATTGCACAATAAAGCTGTCATCTACAGCTGCTTGTTTATGTAAACAAGTTTTCCTGGTGTTTATGTCTATAAAACCAGGAGGAGAATGTGCTAATCCACCCCACATTCTACTTTTAAGTAATATTTATCCATGGAAAAGTCATTAGGTGAGGAGAACAATTCTGCTCAGACCCCTGAGAAATATTTCTAATGAAATTTTATAATTTATACTTTTAAGTTCAAATTTTATAATGACTTCTTATTGTTTTCATCTATTGTACATCAGTAAATTACAATGGAACTCAGTTCAAGAAGTCGTTAACTTTTGTAGATTATGTTCATAAGAAATATTCAAATTTTAATTTTCAAATTTCAAGTATAAATTATGATCCATGCATATTTGATAGCTTAATCAAAGGAACATTTTAAAATATGTAAATGTTTAGTGTTTGGATAATATTCCATGGGGGGGGATGAAAAAAATAATCTGAAACGTGAGAAAACTAAAAAATTTGGTTGCTGAAAAGAAAATTGGCTGCTAAAAGGAAAATTTTTCTTCATATATTCCTTTAAAGGAAAATGGTATGTGCATATGAAACACTGTCTAAATTCTGCCAAATATATTTAAAAGAATGATGTTAAATGTTTATTTTAGAATAGTAATGTTTGAAATATGCCCCAAATAACATACTTTATCATTGTTTATGATGAAAACTGTTTTTGTCGATAACTTAAAATCTTTGAGGCACCTATTTTTTAAATTTTCTTTGAAAGTAAATGCAAAAATCATTTAGAAGTAACTGCCTAGGGCAGTAACCTTTGAATCCTTTGCAAGGATCATGTGATGGATTCGGACAAAACTCGGAATTAAATTCCAATTAAAACCCAGACTTTGCTTGTTCTGTAAATATCTCAACAAAACTATTATCGTAGTATTTTGGCATTTGCTCTTTCTTGCTCAGCTGGGATCCAAACATACAAAAACGATTAATAATGAGAAAAGATTGTACAGTCCAGAATGACTCATTCAAGGACCTTTATGAACTTTCTGTTTAGACTGGTTTCAGAAATGAATTGTTTGGGTGAAGTATCCTGGTTTGTTTAGCAAATGAAAGTTTCAGTACGGAGAAAAGAAAAATGCGCAAATGTTGGTCCTCACACATCATGGTGACCCTTTCTCTTTAGAAGCCACTTCTCTGCAGTTCTACAATCATGGAGCATGAAAAGAAACACATTAAAGATAGACAGAGTCTGCTTGACATCTTTTAACTTTATCTAGAACGTATTTTCTTTCTTACAAACTTTTCTTGGCTAACAGTCACGAGCAAAATCAACCATGAACATTTTTATAATCTAGTTCATTTTTTTCCTATCAATTCCCAAATCTCTTACATTCATGACACATGACGTATGATTTCTGAGCAAACAGACCACGGGCTAATCCAGTTGCTGTTCCTTTACACTGAAAACTCTCTTAAGGTCAATGAACTTCTACTTATTAACACATTAAAATGACACATTCTTCCCTGTGTAGTCTGTCTTACCTCTTGTTGAGTTCAGCTACCCTGGACGCCCTCCTCCTGTCTGCATTCCCCTGTGGCAGTACCATGGACTTTCTCTAATGTGTCACAGAGTTTAAGAATGCATAGAAGCACCTCTTGCTGGCAATGAGTAGCATATTCCTTAAACTTCTCACTTTGACCCAGTATTCCGAATATCCTACATCTTCCACTAGAAGTACCTAAATCAATCAGTAAATTTTTATCACTCTAACAAAGCTACATCTCTACAAGTAATCCAAATTCTTGTATACTGCCTTGGATTACTTCTATTTAGCATGTATAAAAGAAATGAAAGGGTGTACACTGACAGAAATAGCTCAGAAAAGAAATGAATTTCTTGGCTTCTATTCAGGCCCAACTCCTTGTGTAGTTTTGATACTCCAAGAAAGAAACCACAAATAATTTTCAGCCCAACTTTGTGCTTTATGGTATCTTCTGTATAACTACGAAGTGCAGAATGGATTTATTCTTCCAGGTCATCAATAAAGATACTGAATAAATGAGCTCTCCAAGAATCCCCTTGGGATGTATGCAGTGTAAAAACTGTGGGCAGAGATCTATCTAGTTCATTCACTGCTAAACCCTCAGGGCCTAATTGTTCCTGGCACATACAAAGTACCTAATAGATAGTGAATGAATAAAAAATGAAGGAGCGATAAGATAGCTGGATGGATGAGAACTTGTCTTTTTATATATTTGGATAATTAGTTAGATATTATTATCTAGTCAGTAAATTGACCTGCTAAACGTGTACCCATCAGGAACATGTATTATGAAAACACCATGCAAGGTATTGAAATTATCTGCTTCCATGAGACACCAACTACATAACCTTTCAATAAGTAACCTGAGCATCTGATCCTTCATCAGACGGCAGATAATGTATGTAAAACATTTGGCCTAGTTCACAGGAAACAGTGTGTAACATGAGCAGCAACTTCTCATATTTCCTACTTCTTTCAGATTTGAAATCAATGCACAGTATGGAGATGAAAACATTACCAAGAGTTACTATTTCAGTTTTTGTAGGTACACAGATAATCTCTTGACTGCAGTAAAATCATTTCATCCAAGCCAGCGGCTTGTTTTCCAAGATGGAATCAGATTATGAAAATGTTGGTGCACATTTAGGTTTAAAGTTGTAAATAACCAGACAAGCCACAGTGTAGTAAAAGAAGGATTTTAGGTTTCTTTGGTGAAATAAAAGCAGATATAAAAAGTTACAAAGGTTTTAGGTTTTCATTCACAAAAAAAAATCATTCACATTTTACACTATACATGTTATAATATAAATACAGGAGAGTATTATGTGCATTGTAATGAAAAGGGAAAAATAAAGACCTAGTAAGTCAACACAGTGTTTGTGTGTGTGCTACAACACCTAAGGGCAGATTCATTTAATGAGGATGCCAAGGGGGCTGCTGAAATATACTGTGTACGATTGTGAGCTTCAGTTCTCCTTTCTGGGCCAAAGGAGGTTTCATGAGAGTCCATGTTGTGCCAACATGTCTGCTTTTTGTCTAGTTTTCTCCTTTTTAAAAACAATCTTTAAATTTTTAACTGATACATAAGCACACAAAAGTGATATATAACGGTGGGGTACCCTGCGATGTTTCAATACTTGTGAGCACTGTGTACTGTTTAACTGAGGTTAAACCTCTCTCTCTTCAAGCATTTATCATTTCTATTTGCATGTAATTTGTTGCCTACTCTTCTTGCTTTCTTTGCATTACAGATTTTTCTTTAACTATTAAATTAAGTGGATAATGATTCAAAGTCATCTTCAGCAGTCTCTTTATTCAAATAGAAGGGAGAAAACAGAGTGGGAGGAGTTGAGGAGAAATTTCAACACATACACTCCACCTAACGGGACGAAATGCCCAGGCTACTCCTACACAGAAACCAAATGGAATCAGATTATGGCCAAACTACATAACCTTTCAATAACCTTACATAACCTTAGAATGGCCAAACACCACTTGCTGAAAGCTACACACTTTTCCACTCTTTCCATAATAAGCACTTAATGTCTTCTATCCATCACATTATTTAATCAGGGACAAAGTACCTACATTATACGGTTCTGAACTGTGTGAGGAAAATATAAAGCTAACACTGAGAATTAACTAGCGTACTATATCCATTTTCAGGTCTTGGGGAAAATAACATCCAATAAATTAAATCAGTATGGCTTACTTCATTTATTTATGTATGCTTCACAGCTGCAGCATTCATACACAAACATTCAGAACTTTATAAAAGATTAAAATGGTTATATATACAAAATTGCTTTTTTTTTTTTTTTTGCATGTGTGTTGTTTTAACCATCCCCCACCCTCCTGAACCCACGGTCTCTACCCATGAAAAATGTCTTGATCCCTATGCAGTCTTACCAGAGTTATTGTTATGAAAGCCAGTACAAAGTAGACCTGGTTGAGTTAATAATTAGCACTTTGTCCCCTAAAAAAATGCTCCTGGTCATAGAAAAGTCCTCCATTCAGGCCTTGCATGTACGCTGAAGGGAAAGGGTTGCAGCAAAGAATTCCACGTTGGAGTCCCTCGTTCCTCAGGATCATTAGCCAGGCTTCAGTGTCACATGGGAGCCAACTGCACAGATAGCCGCGACGTGCAGTGACCAACAAGACTGTTTGCTACTTGTCCAGGGAAAGCTGTCCTCCGCCTTGCTGCCAGCCAAAGGGCAGATGAAACCATTTCCAACCTAAAGAAACTACCCCTAAGCAGCCGAACCAATGATTAAAGACCTGGAAGGCTCCATAATCATCATTAAATATGCCCGAATTCAGTGTGACTTTTTTATTTTATATACAGGCGTAAAATCAACATTAAATCATCTTATTTACATGGCCACCGGTGCTGAAATGGAGCTTTTTAAATAGTACAGTAGGCTGGTAGACGTGACGAAATGATGTGCGCCGAAGGCAAAGCGAGCGCTAACAACATGAGACAGGCTGGAAATGGTTACTCTCTGCCCTCGTCTGCTTTTGTTTCGTTTTGCTTCCCTTTTGGATGCCAATACTTTCACTGAAAACGTTTTGGGAGCACAGCAACCCAAAATGACCGGACGGTGGTCCACAAATTCAGAACCAACGGATAACACTTCTCAAGGTGGTATGAAAGGCACAGGAAGTTAGGACTTTGGCTGAAATGATGAAAACCTATGTTTGCCATTTGAGGAATCAACGCCTGGACTCCTGCCACCTCCGGCTCCAACGATGCTCGTGTTTTGATGTGTTTACTGAATTGTCCTTTGCTGATGAGGAATTTTTAAAGTATTTCTTAGAATAAGTCCTTTGGTATGCGGATGCTACATGGAAGGAAAGAAAGAAAACACAACAACATTACTTGCTCCATACCCTGAACTCTGATAGCAAAGCCGCAAAATGAGGATGGCTAGTAGTTGTTATAGCACGGTTGTCCATTCTTTCTAAAGGACCACTTACGGTTCATGCAGGTAATTTTAGGCATAGCCCATCTTCCATTCCCTAGGCACCGGATAGTTGGAAGGTGGCGTTGAATGAAACCATCTTTGCAATGGTATCTAATCAAGGAGTTGATTTCATAACGAGGTTTCATCTTTCCAAAGGTCTTGGCATTTTCTACAACAGGGGGCTGGCCGCAAGCAACTAAGAGAAAGCAAATTGAGTTATTTCCAAATAATATAATAATTTCAATTAATTTTCTCTGTTTCTGCCTGTCTCTGTCTGTCTCTCTGTCTCTATGTCTCTGTCCCTGCCTCCCCACCTCTCCAAAACCCCATGTACCATCATACAAGGCTACCATCCAGATTTAAGAACTAGTTCAATTAAACCTTCAGTGGAAGCTCTGGGCCTTGTTTGAATCTCACATGATCCCTGCTTGAATTATATTTTATTACAAATCACAGCACTAAATGGTCACACAGTCACATAGCTTTTTGGTAGGGCTACTTTTCTGAAAATTTCTCGAATTAAGAAGCACCTGTCTCATACCAACAAGTGGTCCATTGGTTTTGTCCTTACTGCCATTCCCCAAATTTTATTCATCAACTTCTTTCCCATGGGATGACAGGGGATTTATAACAATTAACTATTACCGTCCCTTCCCTGGTAAAACTTACAATCTATAATAACATCACAGTTCTGACAAATGGACATACATCCCCAAACATAAATAAAACTGTGTTGGGTGCACTTGTGTTCTTTGTTCTTTTCTATCTTATGCCTAAGACAGAAGATAATGAATCCTATTCACACCTCATTGTTGTCAGCACTTTACTCAGTACAAACCTAAATGCTCAAGAAGAGTATGTAAGCATAGAGATTGGTTTGCTTAGCTGTCATTTTTAGGTTTCTTCTTTTTTTTTTTTTTTTTTTGGTACTGGGAATTGAACTCAGGAGTGTTCGCTTGCCAGGCAGGCACTTGTGCCGCTGAGCTATGTCCCTGGCCCTTAACTCTCATTTTTAAATAACAGTGAAAATTCCAATTATCCACAAACTTAGCAATAAATAATAATAACAAAGGACATAGAAATAAAAGAAATCTTTCGGTTTTGAGATTCAAGGACATGGGAAAACTGATTCACCTGAATTTGTAATAACATAGTTTTATTCAACATTAGTGTAGTTGTTTTAAATTATATTTTAAAAACCATTTAAAAATTATTGTGTTTTGTTGTATATTGCCAATGGAAATGTAACCAATTGAGTATAATTTTCCCTAAAGGGCATTTTCTACTCATAGTATAAGTATTCTGACACCACTGGCCCATAAGAACATGACATATCATCTCATGAAATGATGAAAAACTTCATTTGGAGAAAAGTTAGCAGGAAACTTGGTACCAAAATGTTTAGATGTTAAAATCCTAATACCAACAGTTTATAATTGTTAAATTTCCTTTCATTTTCAGAAGGCTGTCTACAAACATTCCTTTATGAAGACAAATTTGGGTTTCACTTAACTATTTAATTCCCCTAATTTTCTTTTGCTTGATCCTGATATAAATACTGCAAACTACCTTTATTGTATTACAAAAAGCTTATATGAGCTGTGAACAAAACTACGGTGTGTTTTTAAATCAAAAGTATTTTTATTAGTGTAAGAGACACATTGCCATTCTTCCCCTTCAAAATCCTCGCCTTTCCTTTTAACACACTCATCCCACCATCTTTGCCACTTTCAGAAGCAGTTCTGGAAGTCATCTTCCAAGAACGTCTTTAGTTGCAGTGTAGGAGCTACCTCAGTCCTCAATAGATTCCAAACATTTAATTTTCTGGTCATTTTCACTTTAAGAAGGAGTCAGAAGTCATACAATGCCATATCTAGTGAATTAGGTAGATGAGGACATATTGCCATATTCCTGCCAGCCTGTCTTTCTATTGAATGGCACCCAGGAGCAGTATTCACTGTATTTTTGGTCATGCTTCATAAAGACCCCCACGAAAGAGAACATCTTGAACTGCTTCAGAAAGTGGCAAGAATGATGAGCTTAAGGTGTATGGACCAAGAGGGTTATTATAATAAATTTTAAGTTAAACATTCACCATATTTTTCCATCATCCACCATATTAGGTGGTGTCAGATGGAGTGAAACCAAAGGCATACAAATTAGTTAAAAATGGTTAAGTACAATCCATTTTATGTGAGTCTGAACTGTACTGACAAAACAGAACTTGCTTTTAAATGATTATGAGAGAATAATTGCATTTCTTTTAAAACTATTTATATATGAAGACTCTTAAAACCTGAAGTGATTCAATGAAGTGGCAGAGGAAAGACAGGAAAATAGACCAGAAACAGATCCGCACATACTTGCTTGATAGTTGACCAAAGCAACATGGTAATGCAGACAGGAGGTAGAATTAAAATTTGGACAATCTGGTACCTCAAGGAATACATAAAATTTCAATTGTGGATGGCTTAAGTATGTACATTGAAAAGCAAAATTATGTAGTATTTAGAAAAAATGGGCACTTTATGACTTCAGGTATTATAGATTTCTTAAGATACACAGAAGTTGAAGCCACAAAGGAATTTTCAATAACATTAAGAATTCTATTTATCAAAAATGTCATAAGATAAGGCTCAGACATACTGCACACTGGGAGAAGGCATGTGCAACATATGTAATTGTCAAAGAATCAAAGCTGTATTTTCAAAACACTTGCAAGTCAATATGTAAAAGATATATAAGCAAATTTCAAAAATAAGCAAAAGAGAAGCTATCAGAACCAAAGATCTTTACATGTCCTCTAAACATAAGACAAAATATTCAGGAACTATTTAAGAAATTCAAATTAAGTCACAATATTTTATACCCATCAGATTGGCAGAAATATCAAGGTCCTATGATATCAAAAATTGGAGAAGATGAGAAACACAGGGCTGGCGGGTATGTCAGCTGGTATAACCATTTTGGAAAGTAATATGGCATTTTCTAGGAAATCTGATGGTGCATATATCCTACAGGACTGGGCAGCTTCATTCCTGGACATGTGCCCTCCAGAATCTCACCAACATCTACTAGGAACAGGTTTAAGAATATTCAGGGCAACATTATTTATAATAGTAAAAACGCGGTCTATAACCCAAATGTCCACCTACAGGAGAACTGGTAAATAAAATGGGGCGGTCAAGCAATGAAGACAAAACACGTAGCTACAGGCATCAGCACAGAGACAGCTCACAAACATAACACTGAGCCACAAAAAACCACGGCAGAGAGTGCGTATTATTCCACTGACATAAAATTAAACAATTTGTATTTTGGGGATGCAAGCATACGTGTCAATACTAAAGAGAAAAGCAAGGACAAAATGTCATTGTCTCTCACAGGAATGGTGAAATAAATAAATGGTATCAGAAAGAGCCCACAGGGTACTCTAAAAATATAGGGAGAGTAGGCAATATGGCATTGTTTTAAAAATATACTTTCTCACTCTGTAATGTTTGTACTGTTCCTATGCTATTTTGTAAATGAATGTATGTTTATTATCATGTGTTTCCTACAACAACCATTGAGAACAGTCAATGATTATTCAATTGGTCACTCATGTACATCTCTATTTATTTTCTTTAGAAACCATTTTGAAGATACCAAAATATAGTACAACAACCATTGATAATCTCGCACCACTTTTGTCTGTAACTCACTATTATTTGTCTATTTGTTTTCCTGAGAAACTATCTTGTACATAACAATGTGTAAAACAACAACCACTGATAATTTCCTACCACTTTGTCTGTAATTCGCTAAGCCGCCCTATTACTGTTATCCTTCTTTGACTCTTTAAAATATTAAAATATATATACATATATACTTTCCCATATATTAAGTATTTAATAATTAAAAGTAGAATTACATACATCTGTAGGTGTAAAAGTCTACAGTGGTGAAAAGAGGAAAGATTATCTTTTATTTTAAAAAAAAATCTATGAACATTTATAAAATTCTCCAGAGCATGGATTAGAAAATAATAGATTATGTGTATAAAAATTATATAGTTTTCATATTTATTTACTACACATAGATGAAAAGTCAGGCAGCAGGGAGAGAAAATAAGAATAATTTTCCTCCCCTTATGGACCAGAGCCAACACTTTGTAACATCAACTCCCTACTGGGAAATGGAGAGCACAGTGCTGGTTTTGTGACTCTTTCTTGGCTACAGTGCAGGAGTCCTCACCTGGAGGACTTTTGCTATCCCTCACCCTGCCCCTTGCTGGACACATGTGGCAGAGCCTAGACACTTGGCTGGTGCTGTCACAGTGCAGAGGGGTGAGAGCTGAGGGTGTTGCTGCTGGTGTTCAGCACACAAGGAGAGAATGAGGTTCGACACTGTCCAGCACACTGCCCAGTAAAGAACTGTCTGAGCCAGGCGTAGGGATGCACATCTGCAATCCCAGAGCTCTGGGAGGCTGAGGCAGGAGGAGCACAAGTTCAAGTCCAGCCTGAGCAACTTAGTGACCTCGTAAGACCTTGTCTCACAAAATAAAAATTTGAAAAAACAAAAAGATCTGGAGATTTACTTCAGTGTGAAGGTCATGGGGTCAATCCCCAGTCCCACCAGAAAGCAAACAAGAAGTTGTCCGGTTCAAAATGTCAACAGCACTGCTGCTGAGAAACCCTATGATAGGGGAAAATAACATAGGAAATGTAAGTTTCTAGACCACAAAATGAAAAAGCATGACTCCAGCAACCATTTGGGGAAGCTCGGAGGCAAACGTGACTTTTGGATAGATAAACAGTTTATTAAACACTCATTACAGTGGAAAATGGAAAGCAGTAAATGTTGAATCTGTTATTTTTAGGAGTTCTTAACAAGGAGTAAAGCACAAGGCCAGGACTGCCCTGTGCAGAACCCCTGGAAGGATTCTACCTGGGGGGTGACAGAGCAGCAGAAGGCACAGCAGAAACAGCTAAGCATCTTCTGAGGCAATGGCTTTGAGCACCAAGTGCTCTCTTTCTTCTAAGGGAATTCATTTGTGATGTCCTTCTTCAAATGCATATAAAGCATGTATCTGCAGAGTGAGTTTTACCATTTCTGCATTCAAAGACAGCTCAAGTGGGATTTCCATCTTGTATTCATCCTTCATCTGCTCACTGGAGGCGGTTAGTCTCCACTGGGGGAGCAGATATTTAATACTACTATCAAGCCTGGTCTTAAAAATGTGCATGGGGTTTCTGTTTGTTAAGAGAGCCCATAGAAATTCAAACATGACACACATTTAAAAATCAGCTTTTATGATTTTGTTTCTGTTTAATGCTTAATTCTCAGCATGGAGCTTTCATGGCAAGTGTGTTTATCATACCTTACAGGTATCCAACTACAACTTCAGTCCATGGTTTAAAAAGGTAAAATAAGCTTCTGTGGGAATAATTAGAAGCCTTAGATGCCTACAGAGATCAAGCAGCACATACAAGACAAGACTCAATGAACGAAGATGAGTAAGTTAGAGACAGCAGCCCCTGCTGGGGGAAGAAGTTGCTCTCAACTGTATAATCTCATCCGCTGACAAACTTGAGCATGATCAAGTGATATTACACTTTCCTATTTGAAACAAATCCAGATGATTTTGTGATACAACCCAATCTTTAACTGTTGGCAACTACTGTCTTTGTTAATACTCTTCTCATTAAAATAAAGAAACTGATAGGTTCTTGGGCCAGAAGTTGTCTTAAAGATACTACCAAGCATTTTTCTTCCATTAATGCTATGTGCTTCTCTTAAGCACCTGAAATCTAATATGAGAGTGGATTGAAAATGAACCTTTTAATTGTGTCACAAGGGTGGAATATTCCAGAGTAACGAGAAATGCACACATGAGATAGTATGTTAAGGAGTGAAGTCTGATCTCCCTGAACCCCACTAACTATGGGTGGAAGAAGCGTGAGACAGCAGAGGGTGAGAGTTACCTGTTCCTTTCTTGCAGGTATAGGTGAGATGGTAGTTGCAAGGGACATCGTTCCACTGGCCATTTTCATGCCAAATGATGACCACGCAGTCCTCTCCAGCAGAAAAGAAACTATCTGGCTGGTTGGGTCTCCAGTTCTCATATTGCTGTGAAAATAGAGAAAGATGATTACTTGATAGTCAAAGGTGACCCAAGAGCACTATGGCAATCTACTTGGGATGACCCAGCAATTTCTCTTTGACTGCAGTCCTGAAATCACTTTCATGTTAAAGACTTCCCAACTCTGAGCAGAAAATAGTTGAGTCTGTGTCTCAAAGTCTTTATTTAATAAATACCTGACTTTGACAGTGAGATATCTTTGAGGAATTTTAGTCTAGTTATCCTAAATCTCTTCATGTATAAAACACGCTTAATTTAAGAAATCCATCATATTATTAACTGTAATAACATTAATGGAAAGCAAAAACAGAGAAAAAGTTCACAATCTCATGCTAATCAATCATGTTTTCTTCAAGAATTTACATGCACATATAAATTTAGTTGTGATTATAGTGCACTAAAAGTTTTAGACTTTTTTCTCATCTTTCTCACTATAAAATACCTTCCTTGGTTATTTATTTCGGTTAAAACATTGAGATACCAAAAAAATATGTTTACCTGATATACCTGTACTTATCACTTTATATGCAATCTTTCAGAATTAATTTGCTTTAGGTGTGCTTTTCATTTGTACCATATAGTTGAGTTCTGCTCTATGACCTAATCTGGAAATTGCTTTCTCTTAGTAGGAACTTTTACAAACATGTGCATATTGATGCAAGAGTAGTGTTTTCAAAAGCCCATCTTATTATAATATATTTTTCTTCCTTGTGCACTGAATTCAGACAATTGAAAAAGATTCTGTTGTTTTGATGCTTTTCCACTAGTTACCTTTATCTTATATCTTAAATGGTACCACTGACTTCCCACTCTAAACAAGGAAGCATATAGGTGCCCAGAAATTCCTTTAGCTTTCTATGATTGTAACGTTGCTTAACACCAACAATGGATTCAGACCTTGTCTAGACATTTGATATACACTATCTATCACAATAATTTGGCACAACTGGTAAAAATTTGGAGCTTTGAGATGTTGAGCATCAAGGACCCTCTGTTTTAAGTTTCTTTCTGTATTACAGTGTGGCCTCCACAGCAATGAATAGTTAATTATATGAAAAACACTATTTCTCTGCCTGTTCAAGAATAACAAATGTGTATTAGATAAAAATAACACTGAACTCTAAATTAAAGGCCAGTTTCCTGGGCTTAGGGCTTCATAACTAGAATGTGTGATAGGGTGAGTTTGTTCAATGTTTTTTCAGCCAAACTTTGAGTGTCACTCTCCATGTTGCTTTGCCTCCTGTCCCACCTCGTCACATCTAGCACCCACAGTACTTCTGGTGAGAAACTTCCTGGATGTGGTAGTGATACGGATTCAAGTTTAAGTTACAACAGCTAACATGACTGTCTGAGGCTAAGGATCTGAGAGTCTTTCTTTAATTTAAATTTCCAATGAGTCTGGGGTATAAAACAGCTAATGAGATTTTATTTGCTAAGGATAAAAGCAGAGATTAAATAATTCAAGAGTTAAGACAATTGCTTTAGGTTCAAAGCATATAAAAATGTTTTTCTCTTTACCTACTCCTAACACAGTACCATGGCTATTTTCATGTCCTCTAAAATGCATAGTGCATCAAACTCATTTTACTCTTCATTTAGCAAAGTATTTTATTTAACCACTTGCAGTATTTCCAGTAAAAAAATATTTCTTTTTGTTTATTAATTTTCAATTCTTTGCACAATGCAAACTTAATGAAATATCTCTATAACCTGATAGGGGTTTTATGTGCCATTAAGCTCGTTAAAACAATCAATAAAAATACAATAATATGTTAGAGAATGACTATTTTCCTCAGAAAAAAAAATTGTCTTTAAAACCTTTAAATGTGTTACACACCTAGATCTCTGATAAAATGTGGGGAAAGGTCTGAAGTTTGAAAGGCTACTTTTCTCCCCACCTCTTTGCCTAGCTTTACTTTAAGGTTCTCCTCAATCACGGAGAGATCAGAGCTCCCTGAGGTGGGAAGTAGAGTTCTGAAGAGGAATAAAACTGAAAGCACCAAGGGAAGCTACTGAAGTTGCTTTTTGCCAAAACACAGAAGGAAGGAGAGAAAATCTATTTCACTGGAGAAAATCTAATCCAGAAATGGCATGGACTGAAATTCAAGTCTAGAAACACACATGGTGCCAGAGTAATCTCCCTGGTGACTCTCAGAGGACGTTCAGGGGCCACTGCCCACAAAGCATAGGGCCTGGTAGGCCTCCCTGCTGTCCAGAAGTGACCCTTCCTCCAAAATGGGCTTTCCAATTACTTCTCTGTTTCTCCTTTTTTCCTTTATTCCTTACTTCCCCTCCCTCATCATTCCTCACTCTTTAATCACAGAGAAATTTTGTTTTTGAAACTCCACTTTGGTAGATAACCAAACCAGAAGTGTAAAGGTCAAGTTCTATCTGCTGCCGATGTATAATTAAGATTTTGAAACAGATGAATTAAAGCCGGATAAAAATTTTAAAACTAAGGTATGAGAATTCATTAAAAGAACAAAAATCTACATAAAATGTGCTGCCCTCTTTCCCCAGGGAATGTGACCATCCTGAAGGCAGACGGTTCTACTTCAGTAGAATATCGAATACATAACAATGTTTAGGAAATGGTGAACACAAAAAAATTATAAAACCATACCAAAAAGATGAAAAATAGCACAAACGTAAATGGAATAATCACACAAATTATTAACCTGGATACATACAATACTTTGAGGAATATGAGAAGATACTCATTGGACTTCTCTTATTATTTTTGCAAGAGAGAAGGTATTTCTATTCCTAGTCTCCATTTACTCAACAAAAATAAGTTCCAAACACAGATTAAAGTGTTACGTATTAAACTAAAACCCCAAAATCTAGCTTAAAACAGACTTCCAGGAAAATTCTACTAGTAAATTCTGGCTGGGTCTGGTGACACACACCTATAATCCCAGCATTCTGGGAAGCTGAAGCAGGAAGTTTGAAAGTTTGAGTGCAGCCTAGGGGACTTATCAAGACCCTGTCTCAAAATAAAAAATAAATACATGATTCTGGGCTCTAGGTGTTGCTCAGTGAAAGGACTTAAGCTTCAGTAGTACAAAAGAGGGAGGGCAGGGGAGAGAAGGACAGGAGAGGGGAGGAAAGAAAGAAGGACGGAAAAGAAGAGGGAGAGGGAGGAAGAAAGAATAACTGTCTCTTTTTCACACTGAAATGGGACTTGGATTCTAGGCCACTGAAATGACTCTCAGGGTTTAAACTGCTCAGACCCCTGGCAAAAGATTTAATTGTCTTTACTAAGAACTACGGCTGGCTTGTGGCAATGATTTAAAATGTGCGTTCCTATTGTTACTTGGTGGAGTTCGGTGGAATGAAGCAGGACCAAATTTGCGCTCCATGGTTTTCGTAGGAATGTCTGATACCCACAGGAACACCACATTATTGCCTCATATCTGATAGCTCCACTGTGTAAATTTATCTTGGCTAGGACACGTCACTTTAGTTCCATATTACTGCCAAACTTACTTAGAAAAGGAAACTCCAGTTTTCTGAACAACTTTCTTTGTTTCCTCTTTAATTATTTTACTTACAGGGAGAAAGAGCATAAAAATAACTCTTTGACATTAGGTCCCATAATATGTTGTTGTTTTTTTTTAAATTAAAGTTAGAGATTAGGAAGAAATCCCTCCTCAGGAAAACAATCAGGGCTGTAGGAAGATCATAGATCCTCTCTCACATACAGTGTCTCTTACATGCTGAAATACAGATTCTTGGAATGAGCAGAGAAAAACTCCTAACTTGGAATAATGAGCAGATATTTTGGTTGATCTGTTCTAAATTGACACATTTCTAGTGCAGGATGGGCAAAGTAGGAATTAGTCCTAAAAGCCATCATAGGTCAAAAAAACTCATTTCAATGCCTTTGAAAAAAAAAAATTGCTGGCCATGCTTCCACATATCTATGCCTCAGATATTCGTGAGTCCCAGTCTCAACCCCAAACTCTTGGCGCCTTCCCAAGGACCACGAGAATTATACCACAAGAACTACATCTCCCAGAGAGAACCCTAAATTACTCTGTACTTTCGTTCTCTTCTGATGGCAGAGAAAATTATGACATGGGCGAAGTAGCAATGATTAAGATATGATATATATACAGTATTACCAATTCTCCAAAATAAATGCAATTATAATGTATCACAAACATACACTAATGAAAAAGAAACTGCAAAACTCAAGTAGCTGATATGAAGGAGATAAAATTCTCTTAAGTATTAGGAGATAATATCTCATATGATAAACATCTCATATGAAACTGCTGAATACTCTACATGACATGTTAAAAAACTAAATTTCCAGTTCAAGGATTGGTTGTATGTGTTTAAAATGCCAAAAAAAATGAGCACTTCAATTAAACTGAATGCAGTCACCTTTCAGTTATTGTCTGCTGCTCCCCCAGATGAATTCAATCAAGCCAGCTGCCAGAACAATAAAATGATTTTGAACACCTGTACGTGTAACACCTCCCCAGGATCAATGGAACCATTATGTACTAATAGTGATGTACAGCACTAATAAAACTAAAAATAATAATTCCTTGGGGAAAATTATAAGCATGGTCCTCTCCTATAAAAAGTATCTCCATGTACCAGTGGGATCATGGGTGAGTAATCTAAACACCAGGCAGAAAAACTCAAAGCAGACTGAAGTTATTCATCAGTGGCTACCAATCTATAAATGCTTGAATTATTTTGTTCCAAATAATTTCTGCTGTCAAAAATATATCTCTGACTCACATTAAGGAGACTTGACTCGTCTTCCAGGTCTCCTGCCAAAGGAGTCCCTAGGCTTTCCACAGCAGTAGCCCTTGGACAATGAACTTCAGCTCCCTGAGAACTGGACTGATCCCGTCACTCAGAACAGTGGGAAAGCGATTTCTCTGTTCCTCATCTCTGCAATTCTCCCACTTGATTCAGTCAACATTCTGAGGGTGGGGCAGTATTACAGGGCTGAAGTCCCTGCTTA